GTTGCCACCTTTGAGACAGCCAAGAGAGTTCGCATGTACTATTTGATAATTTTACTACATTGTTGTTCAGTCATGCACTTCCTTATTGGTTAGATATATTACTGGCAAAATAAAATAAAAAATAATAACCCCCCCCCCCAAATTCAGTCAACTAAAAAGGTAATATAAACAAATGTTTTTCACTTATTTTAAAGGTCAGAGGAAAAATGAATAAAATAATATTTCTTTTTACTCTCACCTCTTCCTAACCATAACTAAAATGGTATTGTTAGGGTTGGGGCCATTAACTATTGAAATAGTTAATGACTTTGATCAGCTAATCCCATATTGTGAATGCCATCTTAAAAAAGAAATAAAGTTATTTTAAATCTGGTTCACTTCCTCCTTAAGATCCTAATTAGTCCTCTTTTTTTTTTTTCTTCATTTAGAGGAATTTCAGAAGCATGGGCTTCTGGCCACCAAGAAGTGGAGTTACCAGAAACTCTAAGAAAAAACCTAGTCTCACAAGACTCCCAGGACCCAAGATATCTGAAATAGTTTAACAAGCTTGGTTCAGTATTTCAGGTTTATAAGGATAAAGTTTCCAGCTGGTATAATGTGGCAAAACTCTATTAATTTCAGCAGAACAATGTCAATCAGCCCTACACATGAATAGATTCAGGCTGAGATTATGCTAGTATTCATAAATAATTACAATGTTAGTATCATTGGAATTACCATTCGTTCACATCTGCAGAACACTGACTCAGATCTGCCTACCTTTTTAGTGAATTGTTCTTTTTATTTATGAAAACAAAATATCAGCCTGAATTAACTTTATCTAAATTATCCCGACATTTAAAAAAAGATCTTTATTAATGAAACTAAAAATGAGATTAATAGACTCCGAAGTCCTGAATTATTAAGTCTCTTAGTTACAATTAATGGTACATTATTCTTTCTAGTACTCATATTTTATTATGCAGCTATACTTGTCACTCCCTTTTTTTTTTTGCTTGACACTTGCAGTTGCTCAGCAAGATACATTACCTTTGGAGAGAGATTAACTCTGACAACTCCAACCAGATCTCCCTCTTTGTTCTTGAGAGCTAGGTCCAAAAAGAGGCATAGTCTGCAACACTGATCTATGCATTTCCTATTTTTTAACTGCCTGGTCCCTGGAGTGGAATCCCCCAATATGTACCAGGTTCCAGGGTCTTTATACAATGCTTGAGGGAAATCAGGAGGTTGAGAATAAAATCTGAAACAACCAGCATGCTGAGAAGGGAGCTCCATAAAGCTAACCAATAGGAAAGGCCTCTCTTATCCCTCTCTGGAACTCAGGGCAGCAGGAAGTCACTTCCATTAAATTAAAAAAAATGGTCATAATATGTCTTAGCGTTTTATTTGAAATATTTGTTCTGTACTATTATTCATAACACTTGGCCACAACCTACATGGAGAAGATTATTCTTTTAACTACTTTCCTTTAACGGATCAGTTTTGCAACCATCGGGATTATAGACATCTTCACCTGACATCCCAGTTTTCATTATACTAGTTAACATGCTGTGCCCACAATATAGGAAATGCTGAAGTCAGGCAGATAAATATTTAAATTTTCAATATTCTTTTAGAACAAAAAATTAGATCACTAAAGCAACAACAACAAAAAAGGGGTGGGGGTGGGGGGAGAATTTAGCCAGAGGTGCCTAATCATAGAATTGCCTAAATGTCAGTGGCTTAATTCATATAATGATTTAGTGTCTGTTTGTTTATACAACACAATACAATTCCATGGAGAAAGACCCAGATTACTCAGTATATCTAGATTAGCTGTGATGGATATATTAGCCTGGGTAGATCAAACTAGTACTGCTGGACTGCATCTGGTGCCCAATATAGCTTATTTAAAGTAAGTTCAAATGTCTCTTTGTGTGCGCATCTACACATGTGCTTTACTGCAGAGTAGACTGATTGGCTCCACAGTAAAGAATCACTGTCTACCTGAGCCCTGGTATTAGGGTGCATTAAATTAACTCCTTTGTAAGACAGTACTCTCAAGAACACTACTATCTTACAGCAGAGTAAGTAACTGAGCTGAAATGCATGTGTAAACTGAAATGCTGGCTAGGGCATGAGGGTGCTTAAGTGCAGGGGCTGCATAACACCTAGCCACACAGCTCCTCACTCTCAGCACCCTCCTGCCCCAGCCAACTCCTCCACTGCTTGATGCTGACCCCCTGGACTCCTCTGCCAGCCCAGGGCTGCTTCAGCCTGGCTCAAATTGCTGTTGTCCCGGGTGTGCATGTAGTCACACTGCCCAGGGGCAGTTTCCTGCAGCTCATGCGGCTCCAGAGTTTATTGTGGCATGTTAACGGCATGTGTAGATGTACCCAGTGTTATTGCATTGTACAAGGTAGATATACCTCTCAAGGACGTGAAAACAACTGGTACTAATGCAACAGGATGGGTGAGAGAGACGCTTAAAGAAGTCAGGAAATGCAAACTTAAGCTCAGCCTAAACTGGTCTCTTGAGCTTATACCTTAAACCATGAATGTACTTTGGGAACAGTAACCAGTACATGTGCTTTTATTTTCCATACAAGTGAAATTTAGTACTTCTCAAAATGCTGTACTGTGACAGTACTTTCATTTATAGCTTCTAGAGACCAAGACCACAGCAGGTTGCCTGTAGCCTGTTTACGGGTGGAAAATCTCTATTATTCGTAGTGCAGAGGCGGTGGCAGCTGATGGTATTGGCTGAACCAAGTGGACTAACAGTATGAATTCAGAAAATAAATGGATAATGGGAATGCAATTCTGAATCCCTAGAAAGATAATAATGCCTTAGGAAGAGCAAAGGTACACAAGGAAAAAATGGTGATATGACTAAGATTTTAATGGATACAGACAACACTATGGGCCAGAGTTCTAATCATATTTAAGTACCTAAAGGCACAGATCAACAAGCAGAATTTTTAAACACCTAACTCCCAGTAACACCAATGGGGGTTAGACTCCTAGTTTTTTTTAAAAACTCAGTTGGTTGTGATCTACATCTTTCTGAACACGGATACCTTTAAAAATCTGGCTCTATGGAACTTGTCTACACATCTGACATGTAATATTTTCTCTTCTATGCTCAAACATGCCTGTCAGTTCTGAAATGGTGTTTTTCACTGATTCACATTTCTTACAATATAGTATTGAATTTAAAAAAAAGAAACAGAAATCAGGGAGGCAACACAGGATTAGTGGAAATCATCTCTGTACCAGTTATCTAACATACCACCACAACTCTAAGCACTGAAGAGTGCTGTTATCATAAATTTATATTTGTTCAACTAAATGCACATTGTCACTTTCGTATTACTATCTACACGATGCTATAGTCATATATTGTGATGCTGTGCATGTATCACTAGCCAATACCAGCACCAGCAATATGCAACATTTACAAAAGAGAGCTAGTTATAGCTATTCAGAGGATCTTTAATGCAACTTTGCTACTCCAAACATATATACAGAGTAGTCTGTGTATATGTGTTTATATATGTATGTGTTTTTTATATAATATATATATGCAGTAACGAAGATGCATTAAATATCTTTTGAATAGCTATATCTTTGCTACTCCAAACATACATACGGAGTAGTGTGTGCACGTGCGTGTATATGTGTGTATGTACACATACACATATACACATACATATATGTGTATGTGTGTATATATGTATATGGAGCAGCAAAGGTACATTAAAGATCCTGTGAATAGCTATAACTAGCTCTCTTTTGAAAATATTCTACTTGGAGCATGCATTACTGTTTAAGAGAGTTTGCTTTAGACCTACCTTTTTTCTGATAGCCACATTCACCTGCTTTACAAAATGCCTAAAATGGATGCAAGTCTGATGCACTGCATTATATAGCCCTTCCTTGACTCAACAAGATAAGGCAACTTTTTATATATAATTTACACTCTTATTTTAGATGATTGCATGTCATCTGTATTTCTTTCTGTCATATGTTCACCATGCACCAGATGGAACTGTCAAATGAAACTTTGAACTGTAAATCCAACAATGACTCTCTTGCTCCTAAAACAAGTCTTTAAATGAGTATAGCTGTAAGTATATAAAATAATCTGACGGTATTGGGAAGAAAGCATCAGATTAATCTACATAAACATCTACATACACAATGTGTATGTGTATATATGTGTGTGTGTGTGTGTGTGTGTGTGTGTGTATATATATTCTAATAGGACAAAAGTGACCAATTTTAAGACACTCTTCTATTTAGATTTTTATGTAGATTAATCTGATGCTTTCTTCCAAATATTGTCAAGTTATTTAACCATACATTTATGTTTAGGACAAAGCAGTTTCCAGACGAAAACCTGATTGAGTTGTATTGTCTACAAGTTAGGTTTTTAACCTTTGGGAAAGCTTAAAAACATAAAAGCCTACACGCTTCAAATGGATTGTCAACATGAACGAAAACTAAATAGAGGTCAACAATCTGAGGTTATTTTGGTCTCCCTGAAGAAAATACATCTTCAATGAAAATGCTATCCATAGAACCATAGACAATAGGGTTGGAAGGGTCCCAGTCCATCTCCCTGCCTTATGCTTAAAATGTATCTGATGGACATCTCTGTCAATGAAGGCTCTACAACCTCTCTTGATGTCTAGTCCCAAGCTTAACTATCCTTAAAGATAGATTTTCCTTAGTCCTCCTACTCTAGATACACTTATTTGATCCAGAAAAGAGCTTAAGGTTCAGAATTTGATTTAATTTGATTGTGACCACTGTGCATGGAAACAATCTTAATTAAACTGTAAAAACAAACATAAACAAACAAAAAACCCAGCATACAAATTCTACGCATTATGGATGAAAATCTATTTTGACCCACTGTTCCAAAAACATTCATAATTCACTGTATAACAGTGTTTGAATAATTTACTGTATTACAGTGTTTGAATAAACGTTTAAATAAAAACATGAAATCTTACTTTCCAAGGGCAAAGCATTCCAGTTTAACAGATGAACCCTTCGCTGCATAAGTTGTTTCTGGAAAACGTACTTCAATCTTTGGTTCATACTCCCCCATCACACCTGTTGAACATCAAAACAGCTAGCACTCCAGTTGAGCCTCAGACCTGTCTAGTACAACAGAATTTCAGTGTAAAAGAAAGGATGATGTTATTTATAATGTTAGAGCCTCATCCTCCACCCTTGGGAATCAACCAGAGTTTTTCCTAGGATATCACTGAAAGGAGATTTGGGCTTCTGGGTAAAATTTGTGGGCCAGCACCCAGTAAATGAATTGGCCTATGAAGTGATATACAGCTTTTGTTTCAGCCTCTCTGCATGGTTCAATTCCACTTCTGGCAGATTTTCAAAAGAAGACAGGGTCCAACCACTCCCACTGAGAACAGTGACAAGGAACACACATAACATTTTCAATTAATATTAATATTCCATTTGTGATATGGGTAAAGATGGGGGCAATGGGAGTTGCTGTGCCTTTAAGCCCTTCTGAAAATCTCGGTACTTATTTTATGTACCTAAATCAGAGCTCAAAGCTTTAGAAAATGTAGTTCCAAATACAGGTTCTGAGTAGTTTTTGAAAGCCAGGGTATGAGTTGTTGGGAAGGGGACAAACTCTACATTTGATAGATATAGCTAATTACAGTGAATGGACCTGGTTGGGATATTCAATATGGTGGAAGGGGTATAGGTTGTAGCCGTTATTTTTAGGCCATATGTTTAAAGCTGAATTTCCCACTTGTAGGCATTTTCCTAAGTCATTTATTGCATTAAAGATAACCCATCCATTTAGAAATTCTTGATGATACATTATCACCTAAATCCTATATGGAAGATTATCAGTTTTTAGTTTGTTTGACAAGAATTTGGTTAACATTGTGTATGCGTGTATTCTTCTTCTTCTGGCCTCAGAATCATTGACTTGGAACTTGAACCAAACTCCATCTATAGTTGTTAAAAGGGGACTGCTGTTTAATTCAGTTTGCTTTGGACCAGTCCTCCGCTTTCCCTAATGACATTTAAAGAATTATAGGAAGACAATAAAGAGCAGAAGAGACCACTGTGATAGGATGAGGCCTGGAGAGGGGGAACCAAGAAGTTGAAAGGGTTGGAGAGTGGAGAAAGAAGAAGAGAAGAGAAGAATCTAGCATTTTTTGTTCATGTTTTATGACAAGTAATTAACTTCATGAGCTATAGAGATATTTCTGGGTGCTGTGGTATTTACAAAACACGACCCACCTCAAAAATTGCCCTTGGAGTTTAAGGCTGTACGTAGCCAAAACAAGGGGCATGTGTGCAAAACACTTTAAAGCGGGGTAAATGCTTTTGCACCACTTTAATGGTGTTGGTGTTTGCACACATCAGTGACATATTGCGTAGTAATTCCAGCTGCTGTAGAAAATACAGCAGCATGATGTGCCTTAAGTGGCTTGAGTGACTCCTTGGAGTTTTAGTTTGCTGCCCTACAGCCATGGCTTTGTGCAGCTCAGGGGCTCTGTAGGAAGCCCATGCAAGACAGCCTGGCAGCAGCCCAGGAAGGGAGACTCTGCCCAAGAAGTGACACACCTGATCTTTTTTTTTTTCTTTCCTTTTTTTTTTGCCTAGAGCCTGCCCATCTGCCTGAGCTGTGTGGAGGCCAGGTGCTTCCCTCCATGGCTGCAGCGTCCCCAGGGACCACCCGAGCCGGGTGTCTGCAGGTGGGTGCTAGCTGGATGGAGGGGCCACTGCTGCCATGGAGGGAAGCGTCAGCCCCACCGCCACAGCCCAGGGACCATTCCACCCATTGGCAGCATGCCCTCCTCTCCCCACTGCTGGAGAAGCAGGTGAGTTCGGGTGTGTGCATGTCATGGGGGTTTAAAGGTCCCTAAATTGAAGCAGTGTTTTTAAAAACCCACTGCTTCAATTTAGGGCCCCCGTTTCATCTACAAACACCCTAAAATACCATCAGAACGTTTTTAGTGCCGTTATCATCTTATAATGCACAGTTGACTTTCATTTACTCTTGGAACATAACTTTCCATGGTATTTTGTTACTGTTTATCAGAGTGCTTTGAAAACAGTATGAGGGATTGCAATTTAGGTGAGCAAGCCCATCAAAAAAAACTTTGCTAACAGATTTCCCAGTTCTATATTTCCCACTGTGAACATTTAATTAAAGGGCTGCCTAAAAAGGTGTTTGTGTATGTGTGTTTTTCTCACTTCAATGACTCATTCTTGAGCAGCTTGGTGGATTTTGTATTTAAGCAATGACTTGAATTTAAACGTAGAAATCGTTGTTTCCAATTCAAATCCAAACGTGAATATTCCTAGGAAGAACAGTAACATGGGGAACTATCATTCATTTTGCTTGCTTACAATTACATGAAGTTGTGTTTTGGTGTATATGTATTTATCCTCTATCCAAAGTCCACTTAAGTCAAATAAGCAATGCTGGATCAGGCCCTAATTGAGTGGGGATTTGTTAGAGCCTCAGGATTAATTGCTGGCATCAAAGTCAAACAAAGGCTTTTGATTAGTTTTATGACATCTTTTCCAGATAACCATATTAAAAGAACTTACCATCATTGCGCAGAAGGAGTGGAGTTGGTGGACCCTGTACTCTTTGTTCTGCTTTAGTGTTAGTTACAATGCAAGTATAGTTGCCCACATCAGATGGCTCAACTTTGGCGATGTATAAATTTCCTGTCTCTTGAGACACAAATCGCCGACTATCCTCCTGAACATACAAGGGGTTATTGTTGAAGATCCAAGCATAGGATAAGTCTGGAAAACATTGAATACTCATCATGCATCCCTTCCAATGTAACCTGCTCCATATTGGTGCCTCATTACAATATGCAGCCACTGCAAGTATCCAGTCATCTTCATGGTAACAGTGGGTTGAACAAATGTTCTCTCAGGTAAAATAAGCATGGTTTCATCTTGGAACTTAAACCAAAACTCTTCCACAGTTCGCAAGTTTGGATAATATTTTTGCTCCATTCTCCCCTTTCCCCCCCTGTACCTAATCTATTTTCCACCTTGAAACGGGTGTTGAAACACATGACTTGAAATGCTATAAAAATGTTTCAGTACTTTCCATTTTTAGTACTGTTCTTTTAAATGTCTTGCAGGCCTATTATTCTTCACACCAGGCGATGGCCCCTTCTATTCTGTTTAAATGACATGCAAGGAAATACCACAAATGATTTCCTAGTTTATCATTGGATTCCCAAGAAGAGAAGGGAAAGGGAGACCATAGGCAAGAGATGTAATTTTTCTATAATAATTTTTAAAAGAGAGCAACAGGTGCAGTTTTTGGCTGCCACATACTAGACCCTACGTGCCCGCAGAGATCATTTCTCTATTTTCCATACTTCTGTTTTCTCTTGCTCTTCTGTAGTTCCTATGCTGCTCCAAATTCCTTACTTTCCATTCTCCTTACTGTTTTCTATGGCCTCTTTCCTGCTGCCCCTGGTTCTTATGCTACCAACCGTACTGTTGCTTTGAGTTCAGAAATGCACATTTTGACCAAAGGTTGTTTTGGACTAACTTGTTTGGGTCCTAATGGCAACTTAGCCACACCTACCTAAAGCTCATTAAGAGCTACCGACTTGAGTAATTATCCTGTGTTTGTGGCAGGTTGTGCAGCCCCCGTAGAGCTCTGTGTCACTGTAACTCAGTATCCAGCAAGTTGGTTACTACAACACTGCACGACAGTCACAGCAGTATAGATATGTTCTTAGTTTTGTTTCTTCCTCTGCAGCTCTTTCCCTCTGCCTGGAGTTTGAGAGCTGACTATGGAAGTTTTTTTTTGGGGGGGAGGGTTCCCCCACCTGTTCTCCATCTTCTAGCAGTAGCAGGAGTAGTATTGAAATTCTATTTTTAATAAAACCCAGTAAATCAGAAGTTTCATAATCTACCAGTTTAGCTTTTCTTAATTAAATGTATAATTCATAAGCCAGCAGCGTTCTGCCAACAGTTTCATTTCTACACATTTTCCGCCATCATCAATCCCATTTTAAAAACATTATTTATGTTTTTCTGTGACGGCTTCAGTGCGGCATGATAATAAGTCTGTAAACTCCAGTAGTTCTGTGGAGTTTTACGTTGTCACCCTCCAACATTATAGGACTATAATTAGAAATGACATGTCTCCAGGGAACGATCAAAAACACTTTCCATACTTGGCTAAATCCTGCTGTAGATTCTGTTTTACTGCTAGCCATTATGCTTGGCTATTTTGATATACAACAAACACGGAGCATGCAGCAATTTATAAAATAATGCAATACTTAGAAATATGTGTGGGTAGATTTTCATGAGCAATGCAACTACAAGACTCAGGCTTTCTTAGTCTTTCCCCCCTTTTACCTTTTTTTTTCTTAATATAATTGCCCTTCTTAGAGTTGAACTTGGTTAGTGTTTAGATGATAGGTTATTATGTTTGTCAAGAGAAACCCCGACTACTTTCTGAAATACAGCAGATAGTACAGTAAGCTCAGTGACTTACAGTTCTCATACAGTACAAAAACAATATCCTACTATGATGCTATAGTACTATGACTATTATGAATGTTATGCCTCTGATAGGACACTGAACTAATGCCTATATCAGTGTTTGAAACCATCCCTCAGAATGAAATGGAAAAGAGTATCCTTGCTGCAGGGATACAATAATATAGTTCAAAAGAAAAGGGGTAATTCTATGTGATACAAGAAAAACTCTATAGAAACCTAGTAAGCCTCTGTCAAACGATCCATCTAGCTATCTGCTGTCTTCATGCTACACAGGACTTTTCAATGAGGTCAATCTTATTGCCTAATGGATCGGATCAGCGAAAGAGAGTTGGCTCCCCTTTCGCCAACTTCCCAGTTGGCTTCAGTTGTCAAGCACCTGCCTAAATCTTTTTTCATGTCTATGTTCCACTCCTGCCTTAGCGCCTATTGATGAGGTTTTCCTTTTAATTTCACTGGAAGCAACTACAAGCCTTTAATTTCACAATCTATTTTTTTTCTCAGTCATCTAACTGAAGGTTCATTGTCACCTACTCCAAGGCCGCACTTGTCTAGAGCCTAATTCAGCTCACCAATGCCAGTTGAAACCTTAATTTTAATTGACTTCAGCAGGAGTCAGATCCCATCTATAGAGAGCCAAGAACCAAATTTAGGAGCTCAACCTCACCCTCCTTTGTGGTGTGACAAGACGAGGCTCATATCAAGAAGCTGCTTTTACATTTTGTCCTGGGCAATTATATCTGTTAATATTTTACCTTTTCTTCTACAGTTCAGCTACTAGGACTTGTACAATGAGTTTTTTTCTCATTCTACAGTGGGTAAATCACAATTAAAGGAGAGTCATTAAATGAATGAATTATTGAAAGGAGCATGTGTAGGGACCATGTCTGCTGCTTTTAGGGTTTCTTTCATTTATATTGCTATCAGGAACTGAGTGAAGTATCTGGTAAGGATGACATTGAACAGGGAGATAGGAGTGGTTTGGAAGAGCACTAAACACGCAGCGAAGATGGCTGACATTATCTTGGCTAATGAAATCCAGTGCAAATGAACTGCCTGAAAACTGAGAATATGCAAGTTTTTCACTGAAGGGCAAAAAAGTCACTACTATCTGTTTTGTCCTGCATTTAACTTCAGGACCTCTGAAAAACACAGTGGTGTGAATCACACTTCTTGTTACCAGAGTATCTGTGACAGTGTCAGAATTGTCTCCAAATTATTGAATTCTGGGCACTGCTGTGAAAGTAGTACAGTGTAACAGGTCAGGGTACACACTTTAGTCATCAGCCGTGATGAGGGCAGATATATTTTTAAATTTTATTTCCTTTCCTTGTTTGGAGAACTGCACACCTGAGATTTTTCCCTCTGCAATGATTGCTTCTCCCAGGAAACGAAAAATGAAACAAAACTTCTGAAGTTAGGAGAGGGATCTGTTAATCTATTTACTCCATTATTCTCCTTGGCAGTAGCTGATAACTAGTAATACTTTAGAAAAAGTAAAGCATTTAGGTAATTGTGGCAGGATTCACAAGGGGATTGTATATTTCAGGGAAAAGGGAGCCCTTTCGAAATTCCTTGAAGGCAATATTATTATTTTACTCTCTAAAAATGGGAGTGTTACCCTTGCTTTCTAATGCCCTCCAAAAATGCTGTAAACAGCCATCCGATTACACAGCTGTTTCTGGATGTGTTAAGATAACATTAAATATTAAATATATTAAGATCACATTAAATACAACAAAATGAAAACAAAAGCACCTCTAACCCTAAGCATTTGAGTGGTTTAAAAACTGAGGGAAACAATTCATTTGTATTTTTTAAATAACACAAAATCTGTAAAAAGGTTCCTCCCTTTTCTGGAAAGAAAAACATGCACTAGATGTTGGACACACTGTAGAAGTCTATATTAGCAGGGATCAAAGGGCAGTCTCCGCATTTTTAGTTCATATCCTGAAATTGACTGCACTGAAGTCAATGAAGCTATATACAGGTCCGGGTGTGCAATCCCCTGTGTGCCATCAACGGATGCTACGGGCCTGAAACAGGTAAGTACAATAAGGTTCCAGTGAGAGTTTTCTGAAGCAAAACACCTATTATGCAAGCCGGGCTCATTCCAAAGTTATGGCAGGGATGGAAAGTACATATACCCTTAGGTTACACAAAATAAATTAAAATACAATTAAATAAAATTTAAAAATTATGCTAACCTTTTGGCTATTTTATACTTGGAAAGCATGGTATGGCTATCTGTGCCCAGAGAGAATGATTGAAAAACAGGTATTTTAGAATTTATTTTGCTAAAATTCCACAGTGACATCTGTGTGTGTGTGTGTGTGTGTGTGTGTGTGTGTATACACGTGTATGTATATTACACACATGTGCATGGAAAGGTTTAATTATGCAT